GAGTTTAAAACCCTTCCCACACTCTTGCAATATTCTAAACAATGTTTCTAAACACTAAACGCTATAAAAGAACAGAATGTCATGATTTCAGCTCTGCCTTCGGCTGCTCTCAGCCACCTGCAAGCACTCTTGGCCACGCCCACTTCTCTGCGCTGCACAGCGATCAGCTGATCAGCTTCAGGAGGAAGCTTATCCTGCAGTGTGGGCTGCACAGCACGTGCTAAATGATTTGAAATAATGTATTTTAAATAAAAAGTTCATGCAGATCGTGCGGCTCTTCCATCAGTCAGCCAGTTGTGTGTCATGTCCACTCTTATTTTGAAAAACCGTGATAGAGCGATAAACAAACTGCGACGTAGCGAGGCACTACTGTAAATGTTTACTTGGCCACAATCATCTTCATAACCAAGTCTAATTTTCAAAACATGTCAGGAACTATTTTATCTGTAGCATGTAATGATGCTAATGTTAGCCTGTATTTCTAAACAGATTAAATGCCCATATAAGGAAGCAGATTATCATCAGACTTGAAATTAGCTGATTATAAAAAGGATCTGAGAGAAATAAAGTCAATAAAATTCATCCTGAAGGGGGAGCCATTTAAGACTTGCTCAGCTTTTTTTAAAAATCCAAACCAAACGACGCTGCTGAAGATCAAGTTTTCATCAAGACAACATTGTGAATGTAAAGCAAAATAACACGAACCTACAGGAAATAAAAGACGTTTCTTCTTCTGCTTTTGAAGCAGCCCACACCAGAGGTGCTGAAAGGAGCCATCCAGCTGGGCATCGGCTACGCTGTGGGCAACCTCAGCTCCAAACCAGACCGAGACGTCCTCATGCAGGACTTCTCTGTGGTGGAGACCGTCTTCTTGCCCAGGTGCATTTACACAATACACCCTTTTAATTTGGGATTATCGGCCACGGAAGTCAATTCAAAGGTCTCTATTGGTAAAATAATGTTTTTTTTCTTGTGCTCTGAACTGTAATGTGCCGAATAATATAATTTATTTATACAGGTCTATGAGGTTACTGTGATCTTTCTGGAACAAGCTAAAATATGTCAATTGAAACGTATACGAGTACGTCGCGTTTCTGTCCCTCAATGCATCCTTTACCTCTCCGCTGGTTTGTCCTTCTGCTCCGTCTTTTAAATATTAAGACGGTTTAGTAACAAATGTGTTGTTTTTCTTTGCAGACGTCATATTTCGGTTATTACAGTCACTGCCTGAATGTTTATGAAGCATTCTGTCTGCTGTGATCCGGGTTTCAGCATCTTTCTTGTCCCGCAGTTTTCAGCTGTTTCAGCAAATCATGAATCAAAACGTTCAGCTCTTTCAGGACAATCCTGCTATGACTTTTGGTATTGGTGCAACTTTAGCTGTTTGAAATATTTAGCCTTTTCTGACATTTTTTTCTCATATAACATGAATTGAGCTCATTTTACGTCCTTCACATCTTTAGATGTGTTTTTAACCTTTTACTGCTCCGTTCACTCTTTGTTCTGCTTCAGCTTCTTTCAGCTTCCTTCTGCTAATTTTAGCTTTTTTCAGCTAATTTCAGCTGTTTTGTGCTCTTCAGATTCTTTCTGCTAACTACGACATTTTCATGCTTCTAACTTCTTTCTAATTTCAGCTTTTTCTGATATTTTAGCTACTATTTATGCTAATTTAACCTTTTTCAGCTAATTCCACATTTTGTGCACGCATGTAAACTTTTTCAGCCTAATTCAGCAGAAATATGCTCTCTGCATTTCCTTCTTGTAACTTCAGATTATTTCTGCTTTTTTATCTACTTTTAGCTATTCGTTGCTAATTTCAGCTTTTTTTCTCCAAATAATTTCCACTTTTTGTGCTTATTTCTGCTTCTTTCAGGCTAATTGAGCAAACGTGTTCTTTCTGCTTTTTTGATCTATTTTAAGCTTGTTTTACCCTTTTAGCATTTTTTAGCTACGGTAATTTTGGATGTTTTCAGATAAATTTAAGTTTTTCATGATAATTTCTGCTTCTTTTAACCTAATTAACTTCCTTCTGCTGATTTTTCCTTGTTATTCTCCTTTAAGCTTAATTATGCTAGTTTCAGCTATTTTTGCTATTTCAGCTACTAGTTCGCTTGTTTTATGCTAATTTTAGCTTTTTCAGCTAATTCCACTTTTTTTTAGCTCATTTCAGCTCTTCTAGTAATTTTAACTTCTTTCTGCTACTTTTCAGCCATTTTTTTTTGCCAGTTTCAGCTTTTTAAGCTGATGTCCTAATGTTTGTGCTAATTTCTGCTCATTTAATCCTAATTCAGCAAATATGTGTTCTTTCTGCTTTCTTCTGCTAAGTTAGACTTGCTCATCCATTTCAGCTGTGTTTCAGCATGTTTTTAGCTATTTTCAGCAGTTTTTCAGCAAGCTCGTCTACAATAAGCATTCACACTGCTTTTTAGCAGGAAATGCGATTCCTCTGTTTTTTCTTAAATTAAATTTTTCTATTTCCGTGAATTTTTTATGTTTTTTTTTTTTCCCGCAGTGATGGAAGCAACCAAACTCCAGCGCATCACTTCCCTGACTTCCGTCTGAAAACGTACGCCCCGCTGGCGTTTCGCTACTTCAGGGAACTCTTTGGTATCAAACCCGATGACTACCTGGTGAGGGAGGAGACCCAGAGGAGGTCAAAGGTCGTCGTGTTTCTGCTGCGGCACGTCGTGACGGTCGTCCCTCTGTGTTTCAGTACTCCTTCTGTAACGAGCCGCTGATCGAGCTGTCCAATCCCGGAGCCAGCAGCTCCTGGTTCTACCTGACGAGCGACGACGAGTTCATCATCAAGACGGTGCAGCCCAAAGAGGCCGAGTTCCTGCAGAAGCTGCTTCCTGGTTACTACATGGTGAGCCGCTTTCACCTGGAGCTGACCGACTGATTCTTTTCAACCGCTGACCGACCGACTGTCCAGCTCGCGCAGGAACTGCGAGACGGAACTTTTCTTTTGTTTTACTCGTTATTACTTTGTTTCAAATAAAACTCCCCGAAGAAATATGTGGAGATTTCTTCACTTCCTTTAAAAACTGTTTTGTTTTATTTGTTTTTATTTGCTTCAGCATCATAGTTGTCTTGCTGTGCCACTTCAAGCTTTTAACTAATGTTATTCTCCTTTTAGCTTTTAGCTACCATTCTGCTACTTTCACTTTTGATGCTTATTGTAGGGAATTGCTGTTTTAGCTACTATTCTGCTACTATTGGCTTTTAGCTACCATTCTGCTACTTTCACTTTTGATGCTTATTGTAGGGAATTGCTCTGTTTTAGCTACTTTTC